AGCAGTTCCAATAGGGTCTTCGCACCCTTTTGGGTGCTCGGACCCTAATTAAAGGTAGGAAGGAGGTTCATCTTTACGCCTTCGGTACCCTTTGAAACATGTTTCTGCTGTATCCTGGATGAGCTTTCTTCCGTCCTTCTTGTTCTCACTCACCTTTCTCCAGTCCGTCGATGTTCTGGGTGTACATCCGCAGCAGCAGGCCTTTGTGGTGAAGCATGCGGATGAAGTAGTGGATGTAGTTGGGACGGTGGCTGCCGGGATACAGAGCCTTGGCCAAGGAGAAGAACGGCTGCGGGTCGTTGGAGAAGTAGTCGATGTTGAAGATGGCCTCTGGGTACGGGATGTTATACTTCTCCAAGTTGGCGTAAAGACCAGTTCCTGGAGTCCTGAAAGTTTGGAAGCAGAGATGTGTATTTTGGACATTTATTGGATTCTCTGTGATGGAAAACAGTTAAATATAAGTAAATAGGTTCCAGCTCTTTGGTTCTAAATTACCAAATAAGAAGTGATAAAGACGAGGCTGCAGAAAACACAAAACCTCCAGACACCGACCTGAAGTCTGGGATGCCGCTGGCTGTGCTGATTCCTGCCCCGGCCACCACCACCACGTTCTTACAGCGGCCGAGCTTCACCAGCCGAGCCACGGAGGCCAGACCGCCGCGGGACGAAGGCTTGAATGAAGACGCGTCAGATGTGGAGCCAGAGGACCGACCCGCCTGCACAGAGTCACTGCCAGCGTTGGACATCTTTGCTTCACTGGAGAAAAAAGACAATTGACTGAGTTACTTCACAGAATTAAACAGCTCGGCATGATGACGAAGCCAAACAGAGGCATGAGCGAGTCTTGAGTGACGAGAAGAAGTCAGATGGTTTTAGTCCTGAGCTCATCATCAGAGAGTCAGTCTGGGATTGAAGACATGATACGAGACACTGAACCGACTTTAATCCTCAAGAACAGCGGTAAGTTCTGACAGATGTTTTGAACAAGCTACCTGCTGAGACCCACGAAGAAAAATCACCACATACCCATCTGATGATATTGATTTACAGTTTTCTGTTTACTGCACTTGCTGTGAAGTTACATGGGAATAAAATACATTATTTTTGAAAGCATGTCCACTTTAGTTGAACTTCTACTTTATAACTTTTGTTTATATTCCTCCAGTCGTTTTGCTTTTCTAATCATTTGACTGCCAAGACCTGTACGGTTCCCGTTTCCTCTCCGCTATTCCACCAGTACAAACATCGACCCTGTTCCGTGTCCTCACCTGGCAGGTGCGGCGTCCTGTCCGCTCACGCTCATCTGGCTGAGGTTCTGAGCCAGCGCTGAGTCCGTTTGCTTCCTCCGCTGTTTTCCATACGGGTCCGGCCCGGAGTCGTGAGGCTCTGCGGGGCTCGTGTGTCTGACCTGGGAGCTGCGTGTTAACCTGGTCACTGGAGGCTGGGCGGCTTTTTTATCAAAGCTGGACCTGGACCTGTTCATTCCAACGCCTGTGGACAGCAGGACGGAAGAAAAAAATGTGTTCAATCAAAATGAAATCACTGTTATCAAGCTTTAGTTTAAGTTTGCTTTGTTTGGGCTTTAAGCTTAAAGGGAAATTTGTCCAATGCAAGATAAGAAGACACTTTGACTTTACTTAACAAAATGCAAAACACTTGTTTGACTCCTTTTTTCTGGATTCGACATGGACTTGTTTTCACTGATTTGCTTTTCATTTGTTTCCCCTCCTTTCCCCTCCATCGTCTGTGTCCCATATTTAAAAAGCTGTTACACTGAAATCATCGTGGAATCCTTTTCTCTTCGCTCACTTTGCACAGAGAGAAGCCGAAATGTTTTAAAACTGTCAACTGTTGAACAAAAGCTAATGGCTGCAATATATTTAGCACCCCCCCCCCTCCTCTCCTCCCTCCTGCTTCTCAGCAGCTATGCTAATACAGTCCACAGCTGTGGCAGCTTTACTGTTCAGGCGAAGCGGAGGGTAGACCGGAGAGGTGGGGGATGAGAGTTAAAAAGAGGGGTGGCAGAGGTGAAAGAGAACCGTAGATTGACTGTGTGTCAACAAACCCAGCTGGGAGAGAAAAGAGGATGCCCCCTAACGGCCCCCACAAACTGAGAGAGATGAGGAGAGAGGAGGAGGGGGGGGCGCAGAGATAAATGATACGGAGGCGGGATTCAATAAAGAGGGAGCAAGCAGAGGAGTAGAAGAAGAAGAAGAGGAGAGAGGAGGAGGAGGAGGAGGAGGAGGAGGAGGGGGGCTTCTCTTCCAAAGCTATTCTAGGCCTTCAAACAACTTCCATGAGGAATGAGTGATCAGGGAGAGGCGGCGAACAAGGAAACAAAAGAGCTACAACCCATAAAACACGACTGCTTGAGAGGGCAGCAGGGAGATAAGACGAGCTTTTCTCCAGAAGCACCTTATCGCCCTCCGGAGGGGACGGGAGAGGACGAGGAGCATCTCTGCTGGCTCACGGAGCAACAGGAGGGCAAAAAGTACCAACATTTACCCTGTGAAGTGACGCATTAACACAGATCATGCTTGTTTTATTGCTACATCAACACCTAAAAAGACAATTCATCACTGCTAAGCTGATGTAAATGTTGGCTTTCAGAAAACTTGTACTAAACTCTCTCAAATCTCACACCCTCTCAACAGCTTTCATTTTAAATCTTCTTCTACTTACGAAGCCCCCACATCACTACAGTTTTCTCTTTTCCCCTCCTGCACATCCTAAAGAACTATTAAAAGCAGCAGGAGGCCGAGGGTCTCGGCTTTTGTCTGGACTCCTCTCAGAAAGACGCTGCTGAGTACAGGCAATAAATCAGCCGCCCAGTTATTAAGGTCTCACACAGATGGTGCTGTGTAGGGACGCCATCGCAACCCTCAGGAAAAGTTACACTCGCTGAAAAAGTCATGCACATAAACTGCTGTGATGAACCTGAACCTAAACATAAGAACCTAAATGCACAGGCGGTAGGGCTTTGATGTCATTTTATTGATGCATTTACCACTTGTTTATCTCTTGTTTTAACTTTCCTTTTATCGGTTTTATTATGTTAGTTGTGTTTCGGTCCGTGTGTTCTTTTATATTTGCATCTTTGGAGCACTTTGGAGTTTTAAAGTGCTTATAAATAAAACTGGATCGGATTGGCTGAAAACATCTAATTGTGGTTTTTAATCCAGATATCGTGGGTTTGATTTGTCATGATTCAGTTTAATATAACAGATTTAAAACATCAAAAAGGGTCGCTGTCACACAAGGAAGACGGCACAGACTTGTAAACCCAGTGACGTGACGCTTTGAATTTCATGCAAAATGTACAAAATGTGGCTAATAAATAATGAGACTTTGCTCACAGCGTGCAGAACCAGAACCAGATCGATCAACGGGCTGCACAAGCTGCTCAAACTAAACCAAACTGAGTTATTTATTAGCCACACCTTGTCCTAAATCCTACTTTGTAGTTTGCTTTTAATTTGAAATCAGCGACACCAAGTCATTTTCTATGAGGACAAACTGCCTCAAGTGCTTTAAATGTTTTTTTATCTGATAAAGGCTAAACGTGCCACAGATGCTGTTATTATTCTTTAATGTCAATTAAATCCCTGTATAAATGACAAAAGGCTTAAAAAGGATTTGAGAGCCCCCCCATCACCACCACCACCTCCTCCTCCTCGCTTGGCCTTTCACACCACTTGTTCTCGCGGCTCTCCCCGGTCGGGACTCTGAGCCCAGTGTGTCCGAGCGCCGGACCACCAGGAGTGTAGCTGCTCATATGAGGGTTACAGTTATCTAATTAGGGACAATACCGGCATTTAAAAAAAAACCCGTCAGGCTGATTGATAATCCTTTTAATACGTTGGAGGCTGAGACCAAAGGCCAAACGACAGACAGGAGAAGAAGTTTGAAAAACAAAAGTTGGAATAAAAGCAACAGCAAACAGACATCATGTCTACTTATAGCATAAAGACAATCATCTGCACTGTTACTGGTCATGTTGCACCTCCACACCTCCAGTTTGCACTCGTTTAATGATCTGTGAATGTAAATATCAACATATCTGCACCCTCAATATTCTCATAAATAATACTACGGTTCTATGGTTCTTATTTCACTTTAATTCTTCACTACACAATATTTTTTTGTTTCTGTTTTGCACTATTACAGTTATTTTTATTTATTTTTTAGCTATTTTTATATTGCACTCTATATTTATTGTTGCACCAACCCACCAGAACAAATTCCTCGTATTGTGTAAACCAGTGGTTCTCAAACTGAGGGTTGGGACCCTCATGAGGGTCCCAAGATAATGTGAGGGGGTCACCAGATCATTGTAAAAAAAATAATAACAATAAATGAATAAATAAATAAGGCCTACATTTATCAATAAATGTGTATTAGGGCTGTCAAAATTAAAAGTGTATACTTCTTCCCGCTCCTTTTTCAGACTTGTTAATATTATGATTTGATTATATTATTATTCTTTAATGCTCTTTTTAAAATTATTTTCTTTTGTTTTTAAATATTTTGTTCTTTTCATTTGTTCGAAATAAATTAAATTCATTCATTTATTCAAAAGAAAATCAACGTGTTAATGTAAAGAGATGAATCTGTGGAATTAACACATTAATTTTTAACGCATTAACGCATGAACAACAAAGTTATTACTCATGAGATGTTAAAAATTCAAACTGGGGGGTCATGAACACAAACTGATGTTATCTTGGGGGCTCAAAAAGTTTGAGAGCCACTGGTGTAAACTACACCTGGCGCTAAAGCTGATCCTGATTCTGATGAGTGTTGATTTAATTCCCTGCTGCTGCTCAGCCAGATGTTTCATTTCTTGATCATTCATTGGTTCATCAGACTCCACCTCTCGCCCCGACTTCAGTTTAACTTCTATCTGAAGGGTTGAGTGGCTGAAACATCAGCTGTGTCTTAAAGGAGATTTGGTTAAGTTTAATGAGGGGCTTTTCCCCCCCGCAACCCCGGCATTTAACCCTCCACTTACAGCCGAGTCGAGGACGGCCGGCTTTGATCTCTGCTGCCCCCCGACGCAGAGGCGGCGAGCGGCAGCCCTGGTCGCCACGGTAACCTCTTCATTACTTAGTTGGAGAGGCAACAGCTCTGTGTTCTCCCTCCCCACCTGCTCGCTAATGACATATCACTCTGTGTAGCATCTTTGTTGGGACTCTCAATTGACACAAAGCAGCGAGTCCTAATTTGTGTTGGTATATTGTTTGCTCACGCGGGGGAGGAAGGCGGGTGGTGGAGAGCTAAATTCGCCCCGGTGGGGTCGATGGCGAAGTAATGACTCTTGTCCTGTTACTTCTGTGAGGATGCAGCGAGTTTAAATCAAGAGCCAATCGACTGTTGATATAAATTCTGCAGGAGCAAAGGAAGAGGTCATCAAAACTAAAAACATGTCAGTTAATGGAATACAGTCGTGACTCGATAATCCGACACTAAATGTTAAACCTTCTTTTATGTCGGATAGCAAGGCTGTCGGATTGTCAAGACGGAGGTCGAGGTACAAGGAGGGCTTGATGCTTGAAGGCTCATTTGTTGTTAATATTTATTGTTCATAGTTGTTATAATAACTAGTAGGGCTGGTCCCAATAGCACTTTCTGGTCTCTGGATATTCAGGCCCAATCAGTGATGAATATCCAAATATTCGGCGCAGTCGGGGGGACATGGGGGGTGGAAGTGGCTGGAACGTACAGGCAGTACTTGGCTGCTGATGCTAGTTTAGTTAGCGGTCGCAGTTCTGAGCATGCTCACTGCGTGTGATGTCATCGTGTCCTCTTCTGCGCATGCGGGACACTTTTGGGTCGTATGAAGTTCACACAGCAGATCACATACAAGTCGCATTTAATAGGAAATGTGAACAAACTTGCAAAACATCGGATTTCACAAAAAAATCTGAATTGAGCATTAAGTCCTGCAGTCTGAATGTAGCCAATCTGTGGGATTGTTCAGTCAGATAATACGCCATTATCCTGATTGGTGACATAAAGGTGTCATGTCGGAGTCAGAATCCAAGGCTGTCAGTGTGTTAAGGCTGTTTTTATGGGTTCAGTTTGTTTTTCCTAAAACCCTGTCGGATAGCAAGTTTAGGATTGTTGAGGGTCGAGTTATCGAGTCACAACTGTAATTGTTTTTCTCTGTAAGCCGCCACAAAACCAAAGTCCATCAAGAACCAACATGTTTGTTTTGTCTGATCATAACTTAAAGCTGATTAATTCAAAAAGATAAAACACTGCGATGACTCCTTACATTTAAAAAGCAATCTATTGTTTCTAAATTTATAAAATTAAGAACAGTACTGTCATAGTTCCTGGTTGGTTGTTTGTGGAGCAACTAAACAGCTCATTGACTGGTCGTGTTTCAGCACTTTAAGCGATCAAAGGATCATTCTTGGTTTCAAAACGAACATATTTGTAATGTTAATCTTGATTTAAGACGAGAAAAGCCGATAACGAGCCTGTTGTCGAGGACACTTTGTTCCAAACACTGGGTTTAACTGTGTGTAAGCACAAAAAAAACAAGAAGCTCTATTGGATGTGCATAACTTTCCCACTGCTTCACAAGTGCCAAATGAATTCAGACACTCAGAAAAACAAGCGGACACATTCCTTGCATTAGTGCCAGGTTCTGTGGAGTCGCTCAGACTGAGGCGACACCGTCATCTGCTGGAAGTCGTGACTCATTACACATGAACAGTCACTGTGGTAGCTGACTGACTGCAGGAGTCACAGAGTTTGATTTTCAGCAGATGTTTGCATCACTGTCAATTCTTTCCTTTTTTTTTTTTTTTTTTTTAAAAGGCGCCAGTTCACAACATAAGCCATCTGAAGGTCCTTCACATTGTAAGGTCTAGACCTCGCATTACTACGGTACAGAGAAACCCAACAAATCCAACGATTCCCTTTGTTTATATACTATAATTTGGAATCTATGTATTTAGAAGTACTTTGAAACCTCATGAACCACTAACCCAGCCCTCAAAGCCACTGTTCTTTCACTTATCATGTACAACGTGTAGCTCCATCGAGAAATAGAACTAAATCAGAGCTTGAATTTTGATATTTCATCAAAATCCCTTTATTCTACATCTCATTTTTTAAAAATTCCAAATATGCCCAGTTTGTGTGAACAGAATTCTGCTACATACTAAAAATCATGTGATACTTGGTGCCACCGTGTCACCATTAGCTGTGAGCAGCAGGCATGTGAGAAAGAATCATGGATGTTTGATCTGAACTGCAGGCTGTGATTACAATGTGTGTGTGTCTGTGTGTATATATATATATATATATATATACACACACACACACATGTGTAGTATGTGTTTAACATTTTAGTAACACCTGTGAGTAATCCAGGTTTTTAAAAAAAATTTGTACAATAAACAATCAAGGAAATTCATTTTCTTTGTTCATTCTTTATGATTTATGGCATTACAACTGAGTCACACTGCACGCAAGACATTTGAGTTCTAGCTGTAGCTGCTCTGTTTCCATAGAGGTGCAGGATTTTATATTGACTGAGAAACAGTTTCTTTCCGAGAGCCATCACCATCATGAACTCTCACATCTAAAACATCCACTCTACCTCAATAAGATTCTTCCACTATGTGCAATACAAACGTTCTGTGAATGTATGTAAATATCCTGTTTTTATCTTTATATTCTACTGAGCAATTTTGAACTTTATTTTGATTTTACTTGCACTGAAAATAGACGAAGCTGTCCAATCTATAATGACTATGAAGGGGCATTCATTCATTCATTCATTCATTCATTGATATTGCAGTTTAAAAAACAAAAGTAAGCCAACAGTAAGAAAAAAGTGGCGGAATCAAAATAAATAAATAAACAATTTTTACATTTTTTTTTTAAATGTAAGCCAACAGAATAGATGTGGTGGAAGCAAAAAAAGATAAAAAATAAAAAAATATATAATTTTTTTTCCCTAAGTAAGCCAACAGTAAGGA